CACACAAACGTATCAAGTGTCACAGAGATCTACAATCCACTATAACATTCTAGAATATACCATAGTGTACAATACTATACTACAATATTAGAATATACTCCATCTGTTGAATGCCGCCGGTCTTGGGTGTGGCGTTTGTGTCGATACCCCTATCGGTTCCCCTAGCACTTTGGTGGAAGCCAGCCGATCACCCTGGTCACCCTTCCTGCTATGCTGCTGCTGCTGCTGCTCAAAGTCGTCGTAACGATGCCCAGCATTCAACACCAAGCAGGTGTGATCAGACAGCGATACCCCGCCTCAAAAGCGATGCCCCCAATCTGACTTCCGCTCCAGAGCATCTGAATCTAGAGCGCCGCTATGCTTTTCAATGTTGATTACAGAGGCTTTGCTTCTGATGGCTTCTCTCTTCCATGCCAGGAGGTTATCCGCCTCACAGCAGATCCTGGGACACTACTGCTTTACCGGCCCGAGTGCTTCGTGCTTTCGTCAACAGTACAGGGGGAGACAGAAGCTGATTTGGAGCAGATTTTTGTTTTTGGCTCTTTTGCATGTGTGCCAAACTATTAGCCGATGTTCAATGATCCATTTTCCTCCAGATGTATCCTTAGGCCCTCAGTGTTACCCTTATTTTGTCGAGTTGCCATCCCAAGTGTCCCAAAATAACGGGACCCCGATCTAGACCCCAAAATACTGCAGTCCTTATTATAGGGACCCCCCGAAAAGGTACCCCTACATTTGGGAAACCCCCAGTTGGCTACAGGAGAAAGGAGAGAGCCTGATCATGACTGCCGCCTTCCTTTCCGCCGCTGGGTGGAATGGTGGGATGCTGACCTCTCACGCATTTGGGGTTTCCCCAAAATTAGGGGTACCATTTTGGGGGTCCCAATAATAAGGACTATAGTGTATTGGGGTCTAGATTGGGGTGCCCCCTATTTAGGGGAACTACGATTTGCAGCCCTACAAAATGGGAATGATTGCAAGAGCAACAATGATGATGTAATGGCACTTGCTAGTACTGCTGATATAGCCAAAAGATCCCTGCATTACAAGAAGGTGCAGCGTGCTCGTCAGGCAAGATGCTAAATGCCCGGAACATCCAGTCTCACAACTTAGCATTGAAACCCAGGAAAAGCCATTGGGGCAACATTAGGGTTATATTATGGGGTTAAAAATTGGGATAATGGAACAATGGCAACTGCCAGTTTAGGGTTGAGCCTATCAAGGGTATAATTTGAGTTGGTCGGTTGTCGAGAAATCATCGACCAGATGGAAAGCGTCTGTCAAAGCATGATCCGTTGTCAGGTCCGAACTAAGATTAAGCCCCTTTGTTGCTGTTCTTGTTATTATTGTTATTAATTCTATTCAATTTTCCGAATTTTCAGGGTACCACAAGTCTGAGCACTCAGGAACAGCCTCGCTGGTTCGTCAGTGCCTCCAAAGACTTCGACCCAAGCACCTGGCTCTGCCTGGGCGGCGCGCTGGCGCCCAGCGGCCGGGGCCTTGGTCCTGCCTTTTTGGGGACCTTATAGTAGAATCCTTTTATAGCACAAAATCCTCACCCTCTTCCCACTGATATTAAATAGGTTCCTATAGGTTCGCATTACCAGTATTATTCTTATTATGACTAGTACAGTAACTATTACTACTACTATGCTCTGGGTACTGCCCCCACTCATTAGCAGTTGGACAATATCTATTAGATAATTATAGAGCCCTTAATATGACTCCTGTTATAGACTGTTAATGGATGGGGGCAGGACCCAAACCTTAGTACAATCCTTTTATAGTAAAAATACCCACCCTCTTACTGTACCACTAATATTAAATAGGCTCCCCAATATATAGGGTCCCTTGTGGGGAACATTTGATATTTGGGTGGGGGGGTGTTTAACATTCGCGTGAGTGGGCGACCACATACGGTCTAGCACAATCCAAAATATTCTATTTTTGGCACATCAACAGTATTACGGTTAAGGTTGCATGAAGGCTAGACCGCCTCAAGCAGCTTGCTTGAGCTAATCATGTCCGTGCAAGTAGGAAAACAGCAGAGCTTTACATTGAATGAGTATCAGTAGTCTCCATAGATTAGGGTTTCACAATAGAACATATTCCCAAACACCTACAGTCCCCATTACGTAGACCCCCGCTTGCTTTAGCTAGGTTTACCTTCGGTACTTTCTTGCCCCTCATAAGCAACCCCCCGCAATTACCCCTGGCAATCAGCATTCCCCGCTTCTATGATTGTAGAATATTGGAACATTCATTCTTTGGGGGTGGGGACAGTGACCGTTAGGGGAGGCATCAGTTCTTGCTCAAGTGACTCAGGCGTCATACTGTCGCAGCTTGAATGTACAAGTACTTCTTACGCGCTTTTCGCTTGACCAGCAGGGCTCTTCTGAATTCTTAAGCTGCGCCCAGCACCATGCAAGTAGTGGGACAACCAGGACAAATCGCAGTTTTCTGGAGCTACCTTTCTCCAAACACAGGTGCATCTACTGAGAAGGATCCCGGAAGGGTAGGACAATTTTCGTAGGACATGGAGGACTGGATGCTTGCAGTAGCCCCAAACCTTCCACAATCTAGTAGCTTCCAGTTTTCTTTGCATTCCCCGATTCCTTTCTTACAATCAACAAGTTTGGGAAGCTAGCCTCCGCACTGCGGTATGCCGTTAGATTATCCTGCTACAGTAGCCATTCTTCCTTGTGGTTCCTATGAATTGGTGGTGGTGCGCCTAAACCTTACGCCCTAAACCTTAACCCTTAAACCCTGAACCGTAACCCCCAGGCCCAACCCCTACAACCTAAACCCCAAACCCTAAAGCCGCCCTAACCCCTGAAGCCTAAACCCTAAACCCTAGCCCCTAAACCCTAAGCGCTAACCCCCAAACCCTAAAGCCTGAAGCCTAAACCCTAACCCCTAAACCGCTGTGTCCGATGCGCGTGCCTAAACCCAAACCCCTAACCCCCCTTAACCCAATGGACAACCAACTCCTAGGCCCGCCGCCACCGGAAGGACATGGCATCCACGTGCGGCGCCCAGCACACGCTTTCGCGCGGGATTAGAGATTTGGGACAAGGGATTAGGGTTTAGGGTAATAATCCCCTCCCCCTGATATTAATACCACCCACCCCTCCTAATGCTAAATACTCCCCATTGTGGTATATCATAATGCATTGGGAGTAGTTTTAATATTTGCAGGGATTTAATTTTACGGGGAGGGGATTAACGGGTAAAGGGCTGAGGGTTTAGGGTTTAGGGCTTTTGGATCTAAACTCGTAAGAGAGTTTATATAGGGTAGAGCAGAGTATAACAAGGATATTAAGGTGGGGGGGGGGGGCTAGGAGTTGAGACTATAGCTCATATAACGCATACAGTAGGTTTATGAGGATCCCACGGTTAAGCGCTAAGGGCCCATACTAGGGAGTAGCATGGTCCTGTTTTTCGGGGTATGCTTGTAGGCAACTTGAAGACTTGCAACCACATGCACATTCACGAATCGTTTTACTTGCCTTTCTCCTTTCTGCGCTTCAGGTCATGCACACGGCCGCACGCCTCCCGGCGCAGTGGGACGAACCGGAAATGTACAACACAGGGCTAAATGCGGGTACTGACGCCGTCATCGAGATCCCGATCACTCGATTTGACGTCAACTTCTATTTTACTGAGCCTTGGAATCAGCAAGCAGAAGGTAGGCGTGAGCCCTCGCGTTTCATCTCAATTGTGTTTCTTGCGCATCTGCTTTCGACTGTCAGCTTGCTGCCTAGGACAACCCTGACGAGATCACAGTCATCAACCCAAAGATGAACCAGAGGCACACGTCCTTCGTTGATGGCATCGAGCTATTTGACAATAAGTATTTTGCCGGAGGCCCAGAAAGCAAGCAAACAAACGCCCCCCAAGCAACTGACCTGGTGGAATTCTGAGGAAATCTCCAACAACGAAGCCAATGGCATGGATCCACTGCAGAGGCAGGTCTTGGAGGTTGGCGGAGCCTTGCTGCAGCAGATGGGAATCTCCAAGAAGGCGCGCAGAATATGCCTATGTATGGTGGTGATGCCTTAGGGTGTGGAAAGGGGTGCAGTATGACAAGCGCTGCTCAAGTTCCCGTTGAAGAGTGATCATGGTGTTGCATCAGTCTCAAAGCGATGGTCAAGAGGTAAGCCTTAACATTTTAAGTTGCTTGAAAGGGATGACTGCCGTGCACAAGAAATGGTTAATCTCGGCTGGTGGGTCGGCCTTGCGGTTTAGTGCGCGTCGCTTTAGCAGTTGCCTTGCACGACAGCGCTCAAACGGCTCTCTTTGGCACGCTTGGTTTGCTGGTGCTGAGGGGGATTGTTTCTCCATAGCCATCCCTTCTTAGTCTCCAGGTGCCCGTAACACCTTGCCGGTATACCCTGAAATACCCTCAGCCAAAATAAATTGAAAGATGAGCCGGTGGTTTCGGCCAGGTGTCCAACAAGCGGTCTCACCATGTTGGCGTCTCTGTGGGCGTGGACAAGGCAGACTTCCCCACGCTGGGCATCCTCACTGGCGCCAACAACGCTCTGGCCATTATTGCCAACCGCTTCAGCTTTGTCTTCAACTTAAAGGGCCCAAACTACATTTGTGACACTGCTACTTGGAGAAAGGGAAAGAGGGAAGGAGGCAGGCTGGCACGGTCTGGGATGCAGAGCGCGTGCAATTCCAGGCATGCTCCGCTTCCCTGACAGCCACTCACCTCGCCAAGCAGCCGGGGCCTTCCTCTTCTAGCAGGATTGTTCGGTGAAGTCGTAGCTGCTCTTTCCTGAGGCTCTTGCTGGACCGTGTTTGGGACGTCTTGGATTTCCACGTGGCCACCGGAACTCACCTTTGCCTCTCCCCGGGGCCCTGGGTGGGCTGCGCTCTGCACAAGCCCCAGATCCGTTCCCGTGAACTGGCTTTGCACTGCTTTGCGTTGCTTTGTGGCGCTTTGCATGTTTGAACTGAGGGGGCACATGACCTCACCACAGGGACGTTGCTTCACTTTTGACAGCTCCGCGAGCGGATACCTACGCGGCGAGGGCACCTCAGGCACAGGAGAGTGCACATGTTGTAGCAGGTGCTTGATGTCGTGTAGACACTTGTAGACACTGAGCAGATGCTGGGTACAGGCATGATCCTGAAGTATGGGGAGTATGACTCGAAAGGGTGCGTCTACAGAGCTTCGCAAGTGGGCCAAGATGGGCGCAGCGCAAGCTTGACGGCCCCAAACGGCCCGGCACAGGAAGAGATCATTGGCCGTGCTATCCGAGAAGCCCGGATGACGCCACCGGAGTCCACCTGTTGGGAGTGCCATGGCACAGGCACGTCCTTGGGGGATCCAATTGAGATCGGGGCTGTTCGGAAAATCCAGCGCAAGGTGCCGCGTAGCGAGCCATTAATGATGTCCAGCAACAAGAGCAACATTGGTCACTTGGAGGGAGGTGCTGCCATGGCAGCCATGGTGAAGTCTGTGCTGAGTGTCCAGCATGGACAGTGCCTGGCTTCCCTGCATGTTCGACAGCTGAATCCTCATCTCGAGCATACCACCTTCGACGCTTTCTTCGAAACAGAGCGCTCCTCCTTTGCCTATGAGCGGGGCCACACGCAGATCTCCTCTTTCGGGTTCGGAGGGACGAACGGCCACTGCATTTTCTGGGGGAAGCGTGTTGGTCAGCAGGATGTTCAGGCACTGCTCCTCAGGCGCATCGCCAAGATGTCCCCTGCAGAGATTCGCCCAGTGGGGAACAATCCGGACGATTGGGAAGCAGACCTGCCAGAAGCCAACCCTAAGGCTGGGAGATATCTACAGGGGATCATGGAAAAGACAATGGAAACTACTATTTCATATTGTGGTTCTATTGGGGTTTTATGGGGATAATGTCAGACAACATGGAAACTACTACAGTGAGGGTTACTTTTATTGCTATTGTTATTATTCTTATGATTGTTATTCGTGTTGTTCGTATTTCAGCATTATTTTTGTCGTCGTTGTTGTTGTTGTCGTCGTCGTCGTTGTTGTTGTTGTTGTTGTTGTTGTTGTTATTCCAGCCCTGAGGCCGGGGATATCTACAGCCGCTCCGACTCTTCTGGGAGTATTTTTTCTGGCTCAACTTCAATGATGTTGTTCTGGGTTGCTGTCAAGTTACTATGTAGGAGAAACCCATATTCATGAGTATGATATACCCATTTTGGTAACTTAATTTAAGTTACTATATCAAGGAAAACCCTATTAATCATTATTTATACCAAGTATGGTAGCTTACTGGTTGGTTGAGCTGAGGCATTGTGCTCCGACCGGAGGACCCGATGGACGAGCCCATCAAGTGGGTCAAGGTGGGGTCCCCTCCCTTTTCTCTTATTTGCTCTTGGTTTGCAGGGGACATACTACTGACGAAAGATATGCTTTTCCAATAGAGTAACTTAATTTAAGTTACCATGACGGGTATATCATTGTCATGAATACGGGTTTGTCCTACATAGTAGCAACAATAGTAATAGAAGTCGTATTCGTAAGTATTCATAGTTCGTTGTTTGAAGGTGCGTGATGGCTCTGAGCAGCGCGTGGCCTGCCTGCTCTTAAGTGGTTTAGGGTTTACGGTTTGGGTTTACGGTTAAGGGTTTGGGCTTCAGGGTTTGGGTTTAGGGTTTAGGGTTTGTGGTCTATAGGGCTTAGGATTAGGGTTTGGGGAAAAGGGTTTGGGGTCTATAAGGTTGGGGTTTGGGGTTTAGGGTTTGGGCTTCGGGGTAAGGTCGTATGGCATGTCTTACCTCCCGGAGGGCTCCGGACTTTGCAGTCTATCATGGCCAATCCTGATCGTTAGAGGTTGGGGGTATGGGTTTAGGGTTTAGGGGTTGGGGGGTTTTCCTTGAAAGACCGCATCTTTCCACCCTGTCGTCACGTTTTATTCCTATTTACTTGCTAAAATCACGATTGATAACTCTATGTTTGCTATTGCCGTTGAGGTGCCGTTTCAATGTTTTTTTTCTTAATTATTGCAAGCATTCTCATCATCTTATAGTCCCCCTTAAGTAGATAGAATATGGGGTATATGGGGATCTTATTATACTATATCCCAAGCCATATTCTATCTACTTAGGGGGGACTTTAAACCTTTCGGGTGCCGCCCAGGAGGCCTTGTCTGACTTCTACACGGTGACCGGGAATTTCAATTCTTGGCAGCAGGAGGGTTTAGGGTTTAGTGTACTGATCTGTATGGGGGTTAGGGATATTATGCCCAATAATGGAGAATCAAATGGAAAAGAAAATGGAAAATGAAATGGACACCCTAGGTGCCCTTAAAGGGGTATATAGGGATATTAACCCAATAATGGAGAATCAAATGGAAAAGAGCATGGAAGACGACTGGGAAGCTGGGTCTATAGTGGTTATAGGGACCACATGAATCAGGGCTTCGTCATGGGTTTTGGGTGCGTTGTTGAGTATACATGTATACACATAGTAAGCCACGGGTCATATGAATCGAGATAGCATGAATCAACATGTCCTGTTTTGGATCCCTATTATAATACGGCACCTAATATTTAGGGTAGCCAAAAAACGATCATAATTTTGTCAACCACCCACATGAACAGCATAAACCACGGGGCATTGCCTGAACAGCAGGATACCTTGGTGCCGGGAGTCCCCGGGCACTTCACTATTGCGGTTTTCGCGCCGGCTGATGGCCACTTGGCGAAGTGTGCCAAAAGCCATAATGTACGCTTCTGGTACACTATAGTATATTCTCGCGTACGATGGTATATCATAATACAGTGTAGTATACTGTAGTATGCTATAGTATACTACAGTATACTATAGTATACTTCAGCATACTATAGTATACCAAAGTAATCAGACTTTTTTGACAGCCTCCCAGTCCAGAGGTGTGTTGGAGTTCCGGTTCCTGAAGAACGGCAGCGATCAGATGATCTTGGCACCAGAAACTTACTGGTTCTTAGTAGGATTTTTTTGGGGAAATATTTATATATATGATAGATTTGATAGGGATTATATAGGGACTATATATATATATATGTATAGAGTGCGGGGTTGGTAGGGAATATGGGAATATAGAGATAATGGAAAGAAAATGGAAGCTGCCACAACATAGTAAGGTATATACTGGGGTTATAGAAGAGAATATGAGAACATATCCCATCGGGAATTTCTAGGGGCTCTATAGGGATTTTACAGAGATTTTATAGGGGGTTAGAAAGGGATTATACAGGGATGAGGGAAAAGAAAAAGGAACTATTACATTATGATAGGGTATGTGTAGTAGGAAGCCTCTAGGGATGACATTTCCACATTTCCTACTAACAATCAGAAACTAGGCCCATATTAGCAGGTGTATCCCCCCCATACCTTCAAACCTGAACCCTAAACCCTATATTATTCCCATATGAGGTACATTTCCATATGCCCTACTTTAGCAGGCCATATAAAATCTCTCTACAATCCCCATACAACCCCTTAAAATCCCTATAGCATATGTTTCCATAAATTTTCCATATTCCCTACTATAACCCCAGTATATACCTGATTGTATTATAGTTTAGGTGGACCCCCCACCCAGTAATAGTGACTATAAGGGATAATAGGGATTATATTAGGGTCCTCTTTATATTCCTATTATACCACTATTACAGGGTGGGGGGTCCTCCTAAATTATAGTAAGGAAAAAGACAAGTGTGGGGAGAAGCTGGCCCGGGTCCTTGGACCGCAGGAGCTTCAGCTCTTCAGACCTGAGCTGTTGTCAGCTAGCTACTGTGATATACTATAATATGTTATAGTATGCAAAAAGATAGTATAATATAGTATATTATTGTTAAAGTATACAATGATATACGATAATGTACTATAGTATACTATAGTGTATCATAATGGAGTGTAAGATACCATGATATACTGTAGTATACTTTACTATGCTGTAGTATATCATAACAAACTATAGCATACCATAATGTACTATAGTGTACCCTACTATGCTATAGTTTATAATAGTATACTGTGGCGTAGTTGCAGCTGGCAGGAGGGTCTAACAAGCTGCTGGTCTTTGAGTGCGGCACCGAACTCTTGCATCCGACTGGAGTTGCTGTGCCTCAAGCATGTCTACTGTGTGTCTTGGATGCCTGTGTAGAGAGACCGTTGCTTCCATCGCCTGAGGAAAAAAGTGGTGTGCTTTGTCTGAGAAAGTGATGTTTTCAGCGCTGGTAGCTGCTTTCTTATTCATGAGCTGCCTGCCAAATTCCTCAACCTCTTGTCAGGCCTTCGCACGTCCCTCGATACTTTGCCGTTATGAACGGGTACCATGTCAGCAGTATGCTCCACGTCAGAGTAGGCGGCCTATGATGTACTACAGTGTATTGTCATAATCTACAACAGTATATCATAGTAGATGATAAGATACTATAGTATACTATAACATCAGGATCTCAGTCCTCGGCCTCTTTGTCTTGTCCTGCAGCGAGCTCAGCTATGGAGCCCGTCTTAGTTGCGTGGAAATCTGAATGGAGCTGGAGGTGTTTGGTTCGTGTCCATAACCCGAATCTTCATAAAAGTCGTGCCGTGGGCTCAGAAAGCTGGCAGCAATCCCTTGCATGATGTGAGACACCCGGGAAGCCTACAGTCTTAGGGTTTAGGGGTTTGGGGTTTATGATATAGTCGGGATCCCTCAGTAGGGCCTGAAATAACGAATGATTTTGGGGAACCTGATTTACCGCTCACTGCCATCAGGACCGGCCGGACAGGCAAGACGAGCGCATGATGAGCATTCCTGAGGAAAAGAGCGGTCAACACGGAGACACATTAATCTTTCCCCCAGTCGTAGACAGCACTCACCACTCCTCTTCCTGGTGCAGCATGTTCCCACCACTCTGGCACAAGTATTTCTATTTACGTGTAGAATCTGCGATGTGAGGGGGAGGGTCGTATGGGCACAGGGCTGGCAGCAATGACGACGACAATGAGCGCAACAGCACCGGCAGCAACATTAGAAGACGGCCAGAACACAATGCATGTAGGTTTATGCGCCTTCTTGGCGTGCAAATCTGAAGGCCCGTTTTGAGCACCCCTGTGCGGGATTGAGTACAATTCCAGACAACCATAATTTCCCACAACCCCCCCCCCCCCAAGATCTCCCCAAGATCCACATAAAATCCATCTTGGACCCATCTCACTTGCATCCTCCTCTTTCACTTGCTCCAACTCCATTCACTAAAAGGTGCTCACTTCAAGGTGCTCACTTAAGAGAGGTCATCTTGGTGCCACCGAAGGCCTCAAGATGGCATGTTGGACCCATCTAGAACAATTGCAGAGATTCTTCCTGTGCAGGAGCTGTTCAAAACTTAGAGGCAACTTCGTCGTTTTTTTGGTTGCAGTAGCTATAGTTTAGCAGTGGCATGGTCGGACTTTAGCTCACTATCCAGAAGTTTCTTGTGGCTCGCTTCGCCGAACCAAAAGAGCCAACCACACGACCAAGCAAATCAGGGAGTGGGAGGTGGCCGAAAGTATTTCATGAACAAGATAAATCGCGCGATTTCGGACTCATGTGTTGCTTGCCCGGACCTGCCTGATGTTGTCATGCAGCAAGGAGGCAAGAGCCGTAGTTTATGGCATGTCCATGTCTGGCCTTTTTGTGCAATGGAAAGACTTGTGCAAACTCACGCATGCAACATTCGTTCACATGGGTAAGCTCTGACTCATGTGCGCAAGATTTTGTCGACTAAGCCTAGTTGTGGCAGTGTGCGTAGATGGGATTTGTTGCCCAAGCCCATGTATTGGCATGAAAAAGATTTTCTTGGCGCTGACGGTATGCAGCTTATTCATCATATTTCGACGAGATTCTTGGCTGCGGCCTGAGCGTGTACAGACCCTCCCGTGCTGTGCGCTTCCTTTGTAGCATATTGTACTATACTACAGTATACTATAATGTAATACCTTACGTGTACAACAATCTACAATAGTATGTTTTAAGATTTGATGGTATACGAGAATCTACTATATTATACGATCGTATTTTATGGTACACCAGAATTGTGGGAGCATTGCAGGTCCACCTGGCAAAGCTTTGAGGCGGACATCACGCCTTCCAAAGTTGCCTCGGCAAAGCTCTTGGAGTCCTTGAAAGAGCAGAAGCTGGGTTGCAGCTTAGGGTTCAGTGTTTATGGTTAAGGTTTAGGGTTCAGGGTTTAGGGTTCAGGGTTTCGGGCTTAGAGTTTAGGGTGCAGGGTTTAGGGTCATACAGGGACATATAGGGATATATAGAGATCATGGAAAGGAATTGCAGCTTCCATTAGGGTTCAGGGTTCAAGGTTTAGGGTTTAGGGTTTAGGGCCTATAGTAGTAGTCATTAAGAGAACAGACGCTGGGGTGCTGTCAAGGAATTTACCTCCAGTTACAATAATCAGGGTATGGAGGGTTTAGAAAAAGGTCTAGGTCACAACAGCCAAGGAAGAAGCGATCCAACACGATCTCCAGTGCGTTCCGTCGCACAAACGCCCGGAAATCATTTTGCGAAACTGCCGCCAGGCTGAATTAGCACTGGAGTATATTGGACTTGAATATTGACCTGTGGCGTGCAGCGGTGCTTCTACATGCACGGTGCAGGATGCAAATGGAGAGTGGCATTTGGAGTGGTCGGATGAATTTGAGGGCACCGGTCTAAACCTGTTGCCCGGCTTTGAATTTGTTGATTGCCTTGGCTGCTTATTCCAGCGGTTCACGACACATGCGCAGTGAGGTCGGCGTGGGAGATTGTCACCAGCACGCAACCTGTAAATCAGAGGGGCACAAACCGCGTGGAGTTTGCATGTTCGTGCGAACTTCAGGCAACGGAGGCTATACCAACATAGAGTTGCCGGTTGGAGGTCCGAGAGCCATATTGACTGCCAACAATATGCGTGCATGATGCGAGCTGCAAGCAAGAGGCCTGAATGTCACAGCTTGCCGCTGTGCCGCGTGCCGTCCAGAGAACGTGGCAGTGGCAGATGGCAAGCTACACATCACTTCAGACCGTGATCCAGAGGACAGCACCAGGCCTACTTTTGGAGCGCACAAGCGCACGCGCAGTGGTATTACGATATTCTTTCATTTGAATTGATCATGACCAACATTACTCTTATCATTTTTATTGTAATTATTTTTGCTTTTTGTCATTATATTCTTGGTGCTTATTGTAGTGTTATTTCTGTTCGTGTTACTCGTTTATGGTTCAGCCTGCCGCAGGTACTACTCGGCGGCTATCTCAACAAAGGCAAGCCGCTGCGTACTAGCAGTTAGTACGGCATCAGGGAATGCACTAAGAATTATGGAGGGATTCTAGAGGGAATATATTCCCTTATTCCTTACCACCAGTAAGACTGACAGCAAGAGCGGACCTCAGATTTGCTTTCCCAGGGCCATGTCTCCTGGTCTACAGACGACGGGCCCTTCCGGGTTTGCGTTCGCGCCAAGCTGCCGCTGAACACCCGAGGACCGAATGACAGTCATGACGGTTGGTGTGAGTTGGCAATTTGAATCAACAAGTCGACCAGCCACAGAGAGAGTGACAAACAGACGGTCAGAGAAAGTGAGAGGGGGGAACACTCCAAACCTTGATGAACCTAGTGTGTCCGTTTAGGACACAGTGGCAGCAAACATCTAAGCCCGTGGCCTTGTGCTTTTTCCACGTAGCGCGGCTTGAGCCACGAAGCCGTGGCGATCTCGGAATCTGTGCTGGCACCTTGCGCCGGGAACTAGCTTGCACTGTTTGGGAAACACCATTGGAGGAACACCAAAGACCACAACACAAAACACACCGGTCAAACTTCAATTTCCCAAACAGTAAGAAACAAATTCTCGCATGGCTGCTTAAGCTGGCGCTCTAGCGCTTTAGCTTGCAGGGCATGCCCTTCCTCCATAATTGACCACTTCCCCTGTTCAATGACATACCTCAGGTATGCCCCGGGATGCGGCTTGGTCAGAGGATCGGAAATCATTGCTCGTGTGTCGATCCATCTGATTTTACCAGATGTCTCACTCAAATCTGTCTTGATAACTGACAGATCGATTGCAGTCCGCTTATCGGAAACATAAGTAGTGGCGCTTGCACACTTATTCACTGCATCAAAAAGGGATTTAGAATCCACTGCCGCAAGGAAAGGTATCCTACGTGCTGCAGCCCTCCAATCACTCGCGGAAAGCATGCCGTAGAAGGCCTCCAGAAAAAGAAGCCGGTGCCAGTGAACTGAACCCAAGCCGGCTTGAAGAGCTTGACCTTCAGCTGCAAGAGTGTCCACGGTCTTCCGTTTCAAACGGTAGCTCTTCCAGGCGGCTACGGTGGTCATAGCCGGCTGCTCCGTCTCTGAGAGGGACTTGTGATGGTAGATGATGATCTGCCCTCCTTGACTCGACAGGTTTTGGAGCTGTACAAGGCTGCTGTGGATCTTCTTTGGCTTAGCCTCTTTGGCGTCCTGCTTGAAGAAGATGCTTTGACCAGTCCAGGGTTCTTCTTGAAGAGCTCGAATGCCGTTTTGATCGCTCCACTCATCCTCCAACTGCTCGTGGTCCATGGCATTCTCGGTCGAAGTGTACTTGTCGATGACCCGGCGAGACTCGATCTCGTGGAGGTCGGGGCCATCCGGAGCTGCACCAGGGTGGAAGGTCGTCCGACGAGATTGGACATGGTGCCTGATCCAGCGATCTGGCAGTTCTTGCCAGTAGTCTTCCGGACTGTCTTCAATCCAGGGAGTCTCTTTGGCATTGCCCCAGGCAGCGTCTGTCACCACAGAGATGCGTAGGTCTTGCCACGGGATTGGCATGACCCGAATCCCAAGATGGGCGAACTTCCGGGCTTCTGAAGCGATCTTGTTGGCCTCGATCAAGTCACTAACCTTCGGGTCCGGGAAGGCCTGCTGCAGCAGAGAAACCCGTCCAGCAAGGTCACATCGAGTCTCCTTTGCCAGCCATGACAACGCGCCCAGGGAGCTTCGAAGTTGCTCGGTTTCCTGGGCCGTGCAGCGAGAGAAGCGCTGCTGCTTCCTCTTCCGCGTCAAGGGAATATCATGAACCTTCTCCTTCACATAGAACTCCTGGTTCACGGTGATGGAGCCGTCGGTCTCCAGCTTGACCTGCTTGCCGGTGAACCGCCCTTCACCAGTTTGGTTCTTGCCCAGCTTGTACTCTTTGGCGATCTGTGCCACAGCGGCCCAGTGCCTTTCGCTGCCACCATGGACCAGGTCATCGGTCGCCACTCCCATGATGCCCTCGAGGCGAGGGCCTTCCTCGCAGTCGTGATTGTGGAGCATGAAGACGCAAGGGTCTGCCTGGCTGGGTCGATACCCGAAATCTTCTTGCAGCCTACGAGCTAGGTGCTGGTACCATGCATACGGCCCGTCTGTCAAGCCATAGCAGGTCTTGAGGAGTTTAAGAAGTTGCTCTGGACGAGCGCCAGGAATGCCCTCCTTGGGCTGGGAACAGTACAATTCTCTGTTGATCTCGTCTCCGCTATGGAAGGCTTGCGTGAAGTCCAGGAAACCAGGTACCCAACCCATACTAGCAATCACTTAAGCACGAATATGACAGAGTCCCTGTTGACCTGAGGAGTAGTGAACTCTACGTCCAACGCGGATTCTTCAGAGTAGCCCTTCATGACGTGCCGGGCCTTGGCCTTGCAAGTACCGGCGGTTGTGTCTTCCAGCAAGACACCCTCCATCCTGGCCGTAGGAATTTCACATGTCTCTAGGGGCTTCTTGGTGAGGACATAGCGGGACTCCATAATCTTTTCAGGCTTCTCAAGACGTATTTGCCGAGATTCTTCAGGACTTAGAAGTTTGTATGCTTTGGTACGAAGGTTGTTGTTGATCTCCTTGAGGATAGCGTTCTGGAGCTTGATGGCATCACGACCCTGAAAATCACTAGCTCTCGCTTCTTTCTTGGCCCGTTGCTTTGCCAAGGCCTGGAGATGAAGATGGTAAACTTCTAGAAGTTGAACCCTCGATCTCTTTCCAGGTGGCTCCACAGCCATGCTTTCACCTGACGGCAAGGAGGGTGCTTGAGGAGGTCTTGGTTGTTCGGGAGGAAGCTCAGGTACTACTTCAAGTGGTGATTGAGGTCGTAGTTGGGAAGGATTGTGAGGTCCTACTCCGGGTGGTTCATCAGGAGGTTCAACGGGACCTACTTGCCGGCTGTCAGGATCACCCTCACGGTCGATATGAGGTTCACCAGGATGCTGTTTCCTACGTACTCTACGTTCAGGCATAGGAAGAGGTTGTAGATCACGTCTAGGTGGGGCTTGTTCATCCATCGGAAGGTCACCTTCAGGATCTTCAAGAGGATCTTGATCTGCCGTGATGTCTACGAAACCCTTCTTGGGAACCTGTTCAAACTCAACCCTTGCCCTTGAAATACCCCTTAGCCAACCACTAATGGTGAGATCTTCTTCAGGAGTTGCATGCCGTACCCGTTCAGGAGCAGCCTTGACAAGGGTGCCGTTGAAGGAAATCCACACGGCATTGGGGAGGTCAGTCATCAACACGCGACCTGGACCATTGCCAATACGAATCCCTGGTCTTCTTGTGGGTGCCTGCCCCTCTACGCCAAAAGTAAACTGCTTGACCAACTTCAAAGTTCTGGAAACGCCTTGGCCCTCCTAATGCAGCAGCCCTCAAAGCTTGGTCACAGTCAGCTTCATGAAATGCAATCGCCGCTGCCTTCCTCATCTTCATGGCTCTAACAGCGCCTTGATCACCGATGCGGATGAGGTCTGCGGCCATATGGTCATGATCACCTCCAGACAACAAACCCCCGGGTAGCCGTGGTGAATAGCCGATTACCCGTTGAATAGGAGAGTAGCCAGCCCTAAGCAGGAGTCGATTTCGAACCATGCATGCCACATCCACCAATTCAAGCCATTCTTCTCTAGATTGGCAGCTGTAGTCCATCATTGACTTGTACAGAATATTTTTGAAGACGCCTCCGGCCCGCTCGGTGAGGCCACGTTGTGTTGGGGCCTCAACAGACGACAAGGCTACTTCACTACCGTCTTGCTCGGCTTGACGACGAAACTCTGCACAGAATTCTGTGCCTAAGTCAATCAGAAGCTTGCGTGGCACCCCGAAAAAGCGTATCCACTGTCGATAGGCTTTGCGAATATCAGATGCACTTTCAGCGGACATAGGAATAACCAATTGAAAATGCGTCCCCCGGGGGCTAAAGGCTTGTAAGGGGACCCTAAGTGCACCTGTGGGACCGATCAGCAAAGGCACTCGGTGATTGAACCGCTTGAGGTCCATCCAAAAACCTTCCTGTGGATCAAGATGCAAGCTTGCTTGACAGTGCAGAAGAAATGGGAGTGAAAGAAGAAACGGTGCATCACGAGTCTCAGGGCTTTCGAAAATAGCAGGTCTAAGGATACTGCCATGCTGACCCAACGACGTAGGAATACAAGCAACCTTGTCTGTGGAGGTCACCCCATTAATGGACTTGAAGCTGTGGTGTTCTGGGCGATAGACCGCACGCATGTCTTCAGGGAACTCTGCAAGGAACCTGGAAAGAGCCCAAATACAGAACTTCGTGACAAACACTGGGCTGCGACACAACATAATCTCGCCTGGCTGAGGATCCGGAGTCTGCACCTACGCGGCTAGAACTCACCTCGGCATGACGATCGGCGCTCAGGACGGCCTGCTTCATGGCCTGGAACTCCTCAAAGCCGAGAAAGTGAACCTCATTGGCGCCAAGCTCCAAAAAGTTGACCCCGTGCTGGCTCGAGGCGCTTGAAGAAACCGAGGTGGCTGAGCCCTTGCTTGGGCACTCACGGTGCCAGTGCCCAACCTGGCCGCACTTGGAGCACTTCGTCCGTCTCTTCAACGCCTCGATGAACACCTTGTAGGTGCCACCAGCAACCTTGTCAAGTGGACCTCCACGACCTCGCTGTCCGAAAGGCTGTGCACGAGCTGCTGAGCCGAAACCACGTGCCAGGCTCTTCGCCTTCTTTGCCGTGTTGACTGCGGAGAACGTCCTTCGCTTGGAGTGTTCCTTGATCATTGTCGCGAGCACTTCCCGCGCTTCGCCCTCGTCAAAGACACCCTCCTCGTAGTCGTTCGTGCCGTTCGGCTCGCCGTCGCCCAGGTCCTGCACGGCGCTCAGGAGGACCTCGAGCTCGTTCTCGTCGCCACGGATCGCCGAGCTCAGAGCCCTCGCCCTCCACGTAGTGCACGGCCTCGGTCTTCTTCTTGTTGTTGTCACTGGCCTTGTTCTTGAGGTCCAGGTCCGTCTCATGGATCCTCACCCACTCCTTGACGTCCTTCTGGCCAAGTCGGCCTTGCGTGTAGTTCATCAGGAGTTTCACTTCCTCCGAAGACAACTGCAAAGCCATAGTGAGGAGGAATCCAAGATATTCCTTTGGCAGCTCGACAGAATGCTCCTGCAGCTTGCGAACCGCATTCTCCCAGCGGGAGAAAAAGGCTTTGTGCGGCTCGTTTTTGCCCCGCCTCAAAGTATAAGTGACGGTTACGAGGCTGTGCAGCATTTCTTCGCGCTCGTCCTCGCCGTAAAGCTCCTTGGTATCCATCATCTGGAGGAGAAGCTTCCCATTCTGGGGGTTGTCCATCCAGGCGTCGTCCCGGGCCAAGTGCTTCAGGTCGTCGAACGGAGTCGAGCTGAGGTTCTTCAGGAGGAGAGGACCCCGGGCTCGGGGTTTCACCTTCGTTGTAGCAAGCCAGAGGTGCAGATAGTCGCGGAAACTGGTCGTGCCATCCCAGGAAGGTGGTGGTCCAGCATTACTGCGATCATCCGGTTCGCCGCCATCATCGGAGTCGTCGTGCCGGACTCTCCGGCCATTCCTTGTCCGGCGCTGCAGGTGCTGAAGAAACTCTCTATATTCAGCTTGTGCATCAGGGCTGGAAGTGCCGGCACCTCCGAGTCGATTGCCCAGCCACGGGTCTCCGCCCGTGACGCTCCCTCCCTCTGGAGGGCTGGCCTGCTCAAGGTCATCATCATCTTCGGGAACACGGGGTTCTGCCGCGGTGGTCGCAGCCATGGACAGATGCTTTTGCGAAGCAGCAAAATCTAAAGGCGGAGTACCCAATTACTCTAAGGCCCTTGGATCTTTCCCAGAGCCCCGCTACCACTGTGTCCGTTTAGGACACAGTGGCAGCAAACATCTAAGCCCGTGGCCTTGTGCTTTTTCCACGTAGCGCGGCTTGAGCCACGAAGCCGTGGCGATCTCGGAATCTGTGCTGGCACCTTGCGCCGGGAACTAGCTTGCACTGTTTGGGAAACACCATTGGAGGAACACCAAAGACCACAACACAAAAAACACTAGAGGCCGCAAGCATTATGCTTCCAAAGCATAACATTATAGTCTACCGTAGTATGTTCTAGTCTCTCATAATCTACTATAGCATACTGTAGTATATTCCTACATGTAGCTATTAGGCAGATGCCCGAGCCCCTTACTTTATCCTAGTTCAACATCTGAGGCCATAAAATTGAGGTCTTGGCCTGTAAGCGAAAGGCCCGAAAGCCCGCTTTTCTGGGTTGTTGTTAAGGAACTCAACTTTGAGTTGCGTACCATAATGGGTATATATGGTACTTCATATGGTTTCCCCAATATAATAACTCAAATTAAATGCCTCAACAGCAAACCAGTTCTTGGTGATCCCCTGGAATTCGCGACATCGGTCTTCATCATGCAAGACGTTTGCCGCGTACACATTTCGATTACGCCAATGGGCAGAAACAGAGCAGGTGGATTGCTCCCACCAGTGCATGTACTCTACTCGTAATGCATGACGACCAAAGTGATACAGCTGGAACAGATGCTATGGAAGCTTTTTGCTTGGGGTGGTGAGGGGATGGCCATGTTGGACTCAGCCAGCGCCAAACAGATGCACTGAAATGAGCTGGCATGCGGGAAAACACATCCAAGGAATTTTCTGTACTTCGGGTGCTTCAAGTCATTTCGCTGTGCTTTAGTCCGGGAGTCTTGAGACATGCGACCGCGCAAGCAAAGCGGATGCCAAGCAAGCATGAAGGAGCAGAAGGCAGGAGAGGCCAAAATAATTGTTTGCAACATGTTGCAAGAGGCGTGTGGCCAGCGCATTGGATGCTTCCCGAAAACGGATACTCTGCCTGGTGCTTAGCCGATGTCATGTCCGAAGCAGAGTGCATTCAGAGGATTACCGCTGAGGACCGCTGTCTGGACGAGGGAGAGATGGACATCATGGAGATGGTGAGCGGTGATGGCAAGGAGGGCCGGTCAGAGGGGCTTAGGGTTTCTATGGAGACACACGTGTCACGGAGCCAGGCCTACCATGCCTACCACTGGATGTCCAGCTGGCCTGCAAACCACTGCAGCGATTTCGAGACGTTCCACCGTTCAGTATCATCGAACACGATTGTGCGGGGGTACAACTCGGATTTCCACGAATATGCCGTGGAAAGGCAGGAGCACGGTGAAGCATCCCCAGTGGCTTTCTCGTATGTTCTGTGTTGGAAGGACTCGCGATGGGATCAGGTACGCTGTAGACGGCACGGTAACAGGAATTCACCCTGCACGTCTTTCTCATGACTGTGAGTACGTGTCTTCATGCCTGATGATGCAGCCAGGAACCTACCGTGCAGCAGATAGGGGCTTTGAGCTCTCATCCGCGCCATGGTTCCTCATCCTGAATACAGCGATGCTTGGAAGAATTCGGCAAACAATAGCTGTCGATGCCCGAAAGCTACGAGTGCTGCCAGCCAGCAATATGCAGCAGCAAATGCCACCAAGGATTGGCGGTGGATGGCCCGGGTTTCCCACAGAGGGAACTACCATGCCGGTCCTTCTCTCAGGTCCAGGAAGCCACTGAGCGCTCAAACGCGATGGTTCAAGAATGAGGTCGAACATGCAGTTGACTGGGTCCGCGTCGTGCGGCGGCGAAGCAAGTGAATTGGCAATGGCCCGTTCCCCGTGTCCGGCCTGTGTCACCTCGCCCCCAAAGCGGGATATTTGGACCATGTGGACCAGCATGTGCCAGGAAGAGCGCAGGCCCCATCGAAGCCCATCCCCGGACCCGGATTTTCGGGCCCATCGCCAGTCTAGTTTAAGCTGTGAAGCAGTGCTGTCTACGAAGTACTGGGTGAGGACCCCACAAGTGCTTGCTTGCACCAAGCCTCGTGTTTCTCCGAGATGCATGCAGTGTCAGCAGCACAAGAGTTGGCGTTCTAAGTGTTGAGAGCTTGGTGCTTCAGATCCGTAGTCTCGAGCTTTCGAAGCAATCGCATGGACAGGGATGAGGCAGTCCTGACTGTCGTCGCTGCAAGTTGTTGCTAGTCACATACAGTGATGGAGTCAAATACGCGAAGCTCCGCACTGTCAACGCTCTGGGACCCTCGAGTCACTCTTCGTGTCGCAATATTTCAAAAGTGTCAGCAATCACATGAGATGGACATGTGGCATCCTCGTCGCATGACAACAGGGTCAGCCCGGCCCTGCGATCCTTGTCTCTGTCCTGTCTCATGTTTCATGTCGTGTCCTCCTGTCTCCATCCGCAAATGATGAGCTACATTGTATTTTCGCGATGCAGAATGGAGTGAAACATCAAATTGGGCGTGAAATAGAAACTGGGGATTCATAAGGGCTCACAAGAAAGGATTTCGGGGGTTCCAAAACAATGAGTGGTCTCTGTTTAAGCATGCCCAGAACCAACCAAGATCAAAGTGGCTGCGGGCAGGGCACTTCTTGAGAAATGCCGGCCTTAATGACCCCTATGGTAGTCCACTATGTACTCTCCTATATAATCCCCTTGACGGAGTTCAGACTCTAAACCCTAAATCCTAAACCCTAAACGCTATATAATCCCTTATATAACCTCCTGAAAGCTCAGTTGTCCTTGCCCAAGTCCACCACAAAATCAGCAGGCCGCCTAGCCAAACCACCCGGACTAGGCATCCTGGCAGCTGCTCCATTTCTTAATAAGAAATACCACAGCCCAAAAATCCAAATTCAGAAATCCAGGGGCTCGTTATCTAAAATTTAAGAAACCGAGCCCCTCAATTTCTGAAATTTGTGTTTTTTCAAATCTGGTCATTTTGGAAAAGACTTAGGCTATTTCTTAGTAAGAACCAGTAAGCAAAGTTTCACAAAATTTCGTGTCGACATCCTCTTCAGGATGGACATCAGTGCAGTCCACGATACATTTTTCGATCACGGATCCCGCATTCATGGCTGGACTGTTGAGCATGCGACTGGCGGTTTCCGTCACCAGCTTGCGACTTGGTTTGTTAGGAGATGCATGTGCAGATCTTGCATGGTTTCGAGTTCCAGCTAGCTCAGAAGAGCCGCTTAAAGCCTCTGAACGGTGTGGCTGCAAGCAGTTGCAAACAGTATGGAATGTGGAGTGTTAGCTTTGATTTTGACACGGATTGAATCCGCAAATCCTATACCCTCTTAATCTTGGATGCGGTAGTTACTTGACACTGGCCCTTGTTAGCCGAAGTCTTTGGGTGGTTAGCGCGACTGACCTGGAATGTAGCCTTGGGCTCCTGTCCAGCCATGCAACTGGCAACACCCTTTGTTTGTCAAGATTTGGCTCAAAGCATGCATCAGATCTGCCGCGCTCCAAAGACATCAGCTATGTCGAACTCCGTACCGGTGGGCTTCCTCTTCGACTGGAAGAATAGCTTGGCTTCCGTCACGTGCCTACTAGGGTTTCGGGTTTTTGTTTGGATGCAGGGAACTTAGGTTAGGAACCTGGGCCCATTCTCAAACATTCTCAAACGTGGTGATGTTGTGTGGGCGCATGTGGTGCGGTGCCTGTGAGCGACAGCAAGGTGAAAAACACTTTCATCCACGTGGATGACGGTGAGCTTGTCTCTCGATTGAAGAGAACCGCCTGGCCTCCTAACATGTAGCAACCCAAAATGGGGTGGCCCCGATGCAGACCCCAACATACTGTAATCCTTATCATGGGGACCGCGAAAATGGTACCCCTTGGGAAACCTTCAGCCCTATAGAACCCGTGTAAGAGACCCCTTTACAGGTATCCCTTAATTTTTGGCCTGAACCCTAAACCCTAAACCCTAAGCCCCTTATGGGGATGCGGGGATGCAGCGGGAAAGGAGTGGTGGGATCCAACTCGTCCATTGCGACGAAGCACGAGCTGTCCAGGTCGCCTCCAGGCGAGGAAGCATTCCTAAAAGAGGCTTAGGGTTCAGGTTTTTAGGGTTTAGGGTGCTGCGGTGTAGGACCCCAAGTCGTAGACATGCCTGAAATTTGTACTATCTCATGATGAAAAAGCTTTGTTTGTGACTCTCCTCCTTATCTGCCTGTTGACTCCTTCAGTAAGTTCTCGAGGGCAGAGTCGTGCCCTGCTGTAATAAGCACGCCTCTAGAATGAAATCCTCCTGAACAGCAACTGGACGTTTGTGTGCTCATGTTTTCGTGGCAAGCGAAGTGGATAGACATGGATGTGACAGGATGTGCAGGGGTGTCCCCATTGATGGTGGCAGGGCTTCTGTAGGTATACCACTGCGGCAACAACGCCCTCTACTCCGGTAGCCCGCGACAAAACAGGCTTTTGATCCAGAGCCAATGAACCAAAAGATGGGGGAAGTACAATCAGCAGAAAATCTCAAGGCGGAGGACACGTTATTGGCAGGTCGTAATATGCCTACCTAGGAGGCGCCTGAACCTTGGAAGTGAGCTAGACCTTTCTGACTCTGCTTTTTAATCCGGAAAGATGTGTGGGAGTTTCGAGGACCAGTGGCCGTTCAAGCAACTGGTATGATGACGCAGACCCGCAACCCAGGGCCTAAATAGCAACGAAAACGCAGCTCTTGCAAGACGGGGGAGGGCCTAAGCTGGGTGTTCAGAGGCACAACTATTTGATCTCCACACTCTTTTGGCCAATGCGTAGCTGAGCAGGTCAGGTGAGGGATACGTTGGTCCGACATGCAAAAACGAGAGCCGACATGCAGGGTTAGCGGCCCGAGATGCAAAAACGAGGAGGCCCGGCGTCCGGCCGACGTTTAGGGGTGGCGGCCCGAGATACAAAAAATGGAGGGCGTCTGGCGGATGTTTAGGGCTGGCGGTCCGAGATGCAAAAAATGGAGGGCGTCTGGCGGATGTTTAGGGTTGGCGGTCCGAGATGC